CCCCAAAACCCCAAAACCCCAAAACCCCAAAACCCCTTAAATTTCTATATGTGTTGAATGAACTTCTATCAAAACGTATTAGTACTTCTTGATAATCAGTAAAGCGATACAAAACAAAATTGAGGCTGCAAGTCAAAGGATTATATTCCTTGCTCTAGAGCTTTCTGAATATTCTTTAGCTTTGACTAAATGCTTTCTACCCTTCTTGGTATTCACCAATGCTGTTTCTACATTATAGTCTATACGGTCAAGTACAGTTCCCTGTTCAATGACCAGGACAGAGAGTTCTTTAAAGAGAGATGCGAGGTCGTTCGCAGCTTTGACCATATCTTCAATCTCTTCATCCTTGGCTTGCTTCATTTGCTCAAGCATCACTTCTTGTTGATTCATTTCTTCTTCATCATCATCGAACCCATCGAGTAGATTTCCTGGTTTTGCCTGCTCCTCAGGATTGTAATGGGACTCCATATAGGCAACTAACTCCTTCTGGATTTTATTAGCTTTGCTAGTACAGTCCTTCAGCTTGATCGCTAAGGAATAATGAACGTTATCCTTGACCTTCCGGTCAACAGGATCTTCAAGGTCAATAGATTTGATGTCATGCAGACCTATTTCACTCTTCCTAATCAGGTTGATAATTTTGGAATTGAGTCTATCAATAGCTTGGATGGGGACTTCTTCTTTAACCATGTACTCATGGCGTTTTACCCTGTTACATTCTTTTTCAAATCTGAGCAGAGTCTCTTTGATTTCAATGATGTATTCTTCAATTTCTTCCTCGTGATCAACCCATCTTGGAGGTAAAGCATGCTTTTCCCTATTTTCGGTGTATTATTCCTGGATTTTAAGACTTTGAAGAGGACAGAGAAGTTTGAAATTGATGAACGGTATGAAAGTTAACATATTTTGAAAATATAGTTAAAGTTTTAGGACAAAAGAGTTCACCCACTCAGATCATGGAGTTTAATCTTAAAATTTATTGAGAATTCTAAGGGTTACATATAACTTACCTTTTATTAGACCCATAAAGATTATCAGGATCGAAATTATCCTTAGATTTTAAGAACGAGCCCTCTTGGTTTTCAAGATCATCAGAATGCCTATCATGAAAATTCTTAAACAGATCCGTCTGTTTAGACTTAAATCGATCATTCTGAAACTTTCCAGTGGTTTTAAACCCGAAGAATCTCTTAGTCTTATCTCGAATAACGCCTTGGAAGGCATTGCTGCTAAACCTGCCTTCTGCAGCATCTTTATCACGATCTGAGTGCATCTTTCCAAATTTGGAAATTTCAAAAAATTATTAAAACAAAGGGGTTTTGGGGTTTTGGGGTTTTGGGGTTTTGGGG